AAACATTACACCATTTTTCATTTAGGTTCAAACCTGTATCAGTGTCAAAGCTGACAGTTGCATGGAAGCGTTTGCCATGTTTAAGAATATCCAGTGTCAGAACAATCTCTGGACTCTCTCTTTTCTCCTGTATTCTTAGAAGTGCTCTCTCCAAATTGAGCCAGAAACTGATCTCCTGGAGAGCTGTGCCTGAGGCAGGATCCCTGTCTAGTTTTGTCACCTAAATAATAACAAGTTACACCCTTTACCAAATGCTAGCTTTAATTAAACACTCAGTTATTGCATGTGGTTTCTGTACTCTTAGGATAAATTTACTCACATGAAAATGCTTAAGACTCCATGATTAAACAAGGACAAAAAAAAAATCATTTTTTTCTCTTAATTGTAACACAAGATTAACTTCTGTATACACAATTAACTTCATATATACAAAGAATAAATACAAAAGTGAGCTTTAAAAATATCTGAATAGACCATCTAAGTTTCTTAACACAGTTGATTTAAATTAAGTCAACATTTGTTTAAAAATTAAACAACTTTCTACATTATGCTTTCTCAATAATAAGGGATACAAGTTACATTACTGCTGTAATAGTCTTACCTTTTGAATTTCCCTGATCCATCTGTTGACACCACTCTGCAATGCATTCAAAAACTGGGCATCTTCTACTTTGTCCCCAAAGTCCTCTACTTTCGGTTTCCTTCCCTCTTCAGCACATTTCTTAATCACTGCTGACACAACTGGGTGAATGGGGAGATTGATTTCTGGGATGTCTATATTCTGTTGAAGATGTAACAAACCCATCTCCAGCTCTGAAATCTTCTTTTCTACAGTTGGTGCCATTTTATCTCCATCTCTGTAAAGCAAAATCGAGAGTATACAGAAGTGGTGTTGTTGGAATTTATACATTTCATTCACACTCTCTTTGTGGAAGGTTATCTTTGCATTCATTATGTCTTTGGTATGTTATGACTGATCTTGTTTTTCTTCTTCTATTCACATTTCTTTATGAAATGTAAACAAAAACAGTGAAAATACTTTGAAAATTCATATATCAAGAATCTTTCCTTTAGTTCTTTATTATAAATATTTTTTCTTCAGTACATATATATTCATGATACCTTTCTGCTTTTCCAGTTTCCTTAATGTAGGACTTGAAGAATGGAGAAACGGCATTACTAACATAGGCATGGAGTGTTTCATAGGGAGATCCTTCACTAAAGTTCATGACTCTGATCTGTGATGGAAAACTTTTCTCTGCCTCCACCACCTGTCCTCTCTTAATAAGTACCAGACTATAGAAGGAAATAATATGTCAACTATGCAACTATGCATGTACATTCATATTACCAGTAACACCTGTCTATACCTATAGATTATCAGTGAAATGTTCAAGTTTTGACAAATATATGCCTATCAGAAATAATAAAACTTGTTCTTCATGTGCAGGCAATGAAGCACTTTTTGTAATAAGTGTTTTTTTCTGTTACAATTTTCTAGTACCTGGACACTTTGGAGCTGGAATAGTGGACGTCCACAGAGAACGTGTAAACAGCAGGGGCCTCTCCATCTCCCTCACCCACCTCTTCAGATTCATCTAAATAAACAACTCCAGAATAATTTTATAATAAAAGCAGGATGATTTTTGTAATAAGAAATTGCCCTTCCATGCCTCATCCTTAATGCTGAGCCTGTTTAGTTATTAGTTAAACAGGAGCAAGAGGGGGGGGGGGACACCCACATGACATCCATTTAGCTATATTCCATTCTGATAGAGGACCCATTCTCAACTGTAAAAAGTTACATTTATTTCCACACATTATTAAATAATGTGTTCAAATAATAAAATTTGAATACAGAAAAAAGGCATGTTTAATGTCTTTTTATATTTTAGTGTAACAGTGTAAATTGTTAGAGATGAAAATTCAAGTTTGTTTTGCACAATTTTATAACACAAATTTTAACCAATTTGATAATACATGTAGATAACTTCCAAATTAAAAAGGGACCTGGCACCAGTACCAAACAGAACTGCAAGAGCTCTAACTGAAGTTGCAACTTAAAAACTTGTACTATGATTCAAACAGTGCTCTAGACACTGCTATACTCCCTGAAAAAAAATAAACTTTTGCCGAGAAATCAACAAAATTACAGCTTATGTATTATGCAATTGATTGAGAATCTCCAAATATCTGCATGCTTCTTGCTGCTTTGCCTCTAGTGCAGACAGGAAATATTACTAATTCATGATACCCCTCCTAAACATCAGAATTGTTCTGATTAATGTCAGACCTTTCTGTCATTTAAGTTCTTTAAACCTACAATTTCACTAAAAATATTTTTTTTTTATTTTTCCTTTCACTTTTTAATTCTTCTTAACTTATCGTACTCAACTGACAGATAGGCTTGTCATTGATTATGATAATAAGGCTGTCGGCCAATGTATGAGTCATAGCAAACTAATCTGCTAAACTTAAAATAAGAGCTATACCTTTCGTTGAAGATCTTTGAATCAGTAAAACAGGAATCTGGGGATCTCCCAGGAATTTTTTTACGACTTCTGATGTACTCTTTTCAAAAATGGTAGTCTTCAGTTGAGGTGGAGCTGAGTCCTTATCCTCCATCAAGGCGGGAATAATTCTCAGCAAATATTCAGCGAAATCCGACAGTTCTGCTGTCGCCTGAACAGGCGCAGCCCGGACATCTTGGTCCGCTGCCGTCTCCGCCATACCTTTCCTCTAAGATTTCTTTTTTCCTCTTTCTTCAGAAATGGGCAGCACGAAATAAACGACCGATCACCGCGGTAGAAAGTTCACAATCCGGGCAACTGAAGTGAGATTGAAGAGTTCCACAAAGGGAGCTAATGAAGGTTGATAAAAAAAAATATTGTTAAGAACCCTCTATACACTGCACACTAGAGAGTTCTGATTTTGTGGTATTTTATGCAGATAGAGTGATCTGCCTTTTGATCAACAATAAAATAAATTGAAATGTACAGTTTAATACTTAATTTGTGATCAAATCAAGCATTCATAACACTTTAATAGGCCAAGAGGAATAGATAGAACACTTCATTTGCAAGTATTTTACCCACTAAAGTAAACAACAGTGATTTATGTTCATCAGTACTTCATTGTCTTTGAACATTTTTCCTGGGGGTAAATGCAAGGCACCCTATATTGAAAATGTGATAGATAAGCTCAATACTTACACCTTTACACACTATAATTTTCTCAATGTCCAAAAAATATTTTCCTCTAGTGTATAGAGGGTCCTTAACAGTAATGTAAAATCTCTACAATTAGCTAAAATTTCATAACTTGAAATTAAAATTATTCGTCAAATGTTTGAAAAAATGCACACACGAAAAGAAGGTAAATATGACAATTTCCCCATAACTGGCATTTTCAAATGAGTGGGGGTTCCACTTTTTTCAATTTGGAAGGTATCTTTTCAAAGTTTGCAAAAAATGTGTGTTTTGGTTTTGAATAAATGGAGAATTACCCACTAGTCATAAAAATACACTTAGAATTATGATTCGTGATCATTTCTGGCGACGTGTCATATTAAGACGATGACTTTTCAGAGTTATGAACACGAACAAACAAATTACTTTAATAAATCATTCAAATTATACTTCTAACAAATTCTAGAGTAACATGCATCTCTAGAACACCCAGAATCAAGGTCTCTCAAGTTTCATCGATCCATTCAAAAACTTTATAGAGCGATTATAGGCATACCTGCTGTTCAATTTAATTTACATATAATGAATAAAATATATTTTAAACTAAAACTTTCATCAATGTTTGAAATATCTGTAATCTGAAAGACTCATTCAGTTAATATAAAAAAAGTAATTGTTAACATTGTATACACGAACATCAAGATGTAACCATGGGACAGTAACTTTTTTTATAAGTCTAAATGCATGGGATAAATATTTTTTCTTCAATGTGAAAGCCATAGAACATGTACTTTTTTAAAATGAGAATTTTTTTGTACCGGTCCCATCATTATGTTAAATTTTGTCTGGTCCCTAATAGCTATATCGATCAATATTATAGCAGCTACATCAAGAATATGGGAGTTATATCAAGCGGATTACAGCAATTATTATGTGCTGAATTCCCATCACAACACGTACTGGCATACATGGGGTTTATCAAAATTTGGGATTTTTTTTTGGGGGGGGGGGGTGAAAAAAACTCAGTTTCTATGGTACTGGCGGTCCGATCTAGATTGTACTACGATCGATGGGTTTGTGAGTATAAAAGCTAGAACACAAAACCAGCTAGTATCAGACACATTTGGCTAGAGATTCCGAAGATGGTGACTGCATAGCTGGTGTGTTGTGTATCTCTGACTCAAATTGCTTTGAATTAAGAACAAACCATAGCTAGGAAGCTGGCAATTTTGTGGGGGGGGGGGGGGGGGGGGGTTAGAGCCGAACATAAATTTCTTTTTTTAAAAAATCAAATATGTCATTATTGAGGCAAAACTGTAAATAAACTTTTTTTTTGGATTTTATATTTTTCTATGGTATATACTGGCAAAACTATTAGGGGCACCCCCCACCCCCCCACCCCCCGGTGCAAATGAATAGCATATAGCAGTTAATCCTTTTAAAAGCTACATTTTATACCCACAAAGCCACTATGATGTGAATGATTTCATGCTTTAATTACTGTCTCTTAGCTAACTACGTTTTTCAGGGGGGGGGGGGGGTTGACGTGCAAAAATACATATATCTGAAAGAACTTTGACGAAAAAAAAGAAATTAAGCTGTCCAAATTCAAAAAATCGAAAAACCTATATTTCGTGTGTGTGTGTGTGTGTGTGTGTGTGTGTGTGTGGAAGGAGTTGGTGTGTTCAACTCTCTTTTTCGACAAAAATTCACTTTTTGTTAGGATAATCTTTTAATTGATTCAATGATATCAATCTTTTTTTTTTTATTCATGAATGAATGCTCCTTTAAACATACTGCTTTCATATATCTGAGCAATATCAACATGCAATGCACCAACCAGCAAAACTTGTCTTGCGGTAAATGTCACTAATAATTTGGCCAAGTGGCTGACTAGAGTTGCAGATGCTCATGAATACGTCATCACCAGTATCGACTTCTATAATTGAAAATCCTGTGGAAATTGCGTCACTTCCGTTGTTCCACATGTATGTTTGTCCGATCACTACGTCATTTACTACAAGAGAGAAGCAGGCATGATTGTCGATATTGTCCATGGCAATACTCCAACTAAATGCGTATGCACCTTTCAGTGGAACTTTGAAGACGCCAGTATAAACATCGAAGGCTTTCATGACATTGGTTATTTCTGTTTCAAATATGATTCTTTCTCCTTTTGCAAGATTTCGCTGATCTCGCGATTTAACAGCATAAAAAGTTGGAATAGTAATCTGTGCACCTACAAAAGTATTTAAAAAGATCTTTTTAAAAAATCGTATATATGAATGAAAAAATTAGACAGGTCGGTAAGAATTGACTAAGCAGAAAGAGAGATACCCGTTGATGATGTCTCTTCCAGCCTTTTCCTCATGGCTGACAAGTTGTCCTCCAGGAAATCGATCCTTTTTGATTGGTCGTCTATTATGGTTTGCTGTCTTGTTATTAATCGCATCATGTTGTCAATTTTGCAATCCAGTGTGTTACATGTTTCATCTAGAAGAAAGGTATAGGAGGGGAGTATGGAAAGAGAGAATAGAAAGAACAATGCCATACTATACAACTATTGCTAGACTGTAGAGATAACGTCAAAATTTAATCCAATGACCTACTCAGACAGTAGTAGATACTATCTATGCCTAGCTGTTATTGAACATCATGATTGTTATATATTTCAGTCTAAAAGTGAACAGTTTTTCTCCCTTGGGTCTGCAATAGATTAAACTATATTTTATAAGATCCTATCTTTTTTTCAGACGGGAATGATTAGATGTGGACCATGCAGATCAACAGTTTGTTAATTAGGACATGATAGGGCTTAACAGCTGCTTAACAAATTTTTAACTAGTTTTCATTCCAAATATAAGATAAATGGAGTTTATTTGACACCATGCAGGCCCGTACAGAACACGAAAAGGGGGGGGGGCTATTTTGCTATAGTAAATGTTCCTTTTACTTTTAATATATGCTGGTTGCCCCCCCCCCCTTTGTTGCTGTAAGACCGAGCATTGGCAAATTCCAGGATTTAAACGATTAATTTTAGTTGGTTTTTTGTTTGCTTGTCAGATTTGTTTAGGAGCCCCCCCCCCCCCCGTTTTTGAAACCGTTGCAACGTTCCTGTATGACGCGAACCCTGCATTAGAGTGAAATGTTCGTCAATTTAAATTTATTGTAGATATTGATTGTTTAGTTGAGTAAGCTCTTTGAAAAGCTTTTTATTTTACTCGTTTCTTAGTTAGTGTCAAAAAATGAGAGCGCACCTGTGAGTTTTGCTGGGTGTAAGAAGAGTTGTCGTTCTTTAAACACTCTCCCGTGTTGGAAAACAGAAATGTCATTGTTGACAACGAAAACGCTTCGAGTCTCCACATCTCTCCCTCTCTCTCTTTCCAACACTGTATACTGAATACAATGTAACATATTCAGGGCTCAGATCTATTTTAGTGAAAATGTCGACACAAGTGGAAAATACCGGCGTTAATCACGCTGTTGAAAGGCTGCTAGAACTCGGTAAGTCCACATCATTGTAGTTCACAGAAGGCCTTCTCTGCTTTCAATAAAAAAAAAGGAATCGGTTACATATGTACTTAATTGAAACAGATATCTAAAGTCCTATACTGTGTGTGTGAATTTGTGTATCTTTTCCGCGAAGAAGATAAATTTTAAACAGAAATCTCGAAAAAGCATTACAGTGACAAACTTTTTCAAGTCGCCATTTTATCTATACTTTTTATTGACATTCAGCATGTTCATGTACTTTAATTTTGCAGCCGACCGAATGAGGGATGTTGATTTTGGATTTAACGACAAAGATATTAACAACATAGATAAAATTATAGAAGCCATTCATGAATTGGTATGTGAAATAACTGGAAATATTTTCTTTTTTATTCCATTTTGTATATCAATAATATAAATAATCATTATAATGATGATTGAGATAATAATAGATTTTTTATGTATATTTTGGGGGATGATTGGGGAGGGTTTTGAATTATAATATTAATTATGCTTGTTTTGCAGAAGTTATTGGTTTTGTTAATTGATGTAGGTTGTGAAGGCCTAATATTTTTCTGTTTAATTCAAATCTGTTTGCAAATTTTTCATAGGATGAAGCTAGAAGAAAAATGCATGAAAGATTAGAAACTAAAACCATACATGCAAGTATTCTGCGTCACAAACTTCAATTCCTACCAGCCCAGATTCGTGATGAAATCAAAGCTGCAGTTTCATCTGCGCGGCAGTCAAATGCATCAGCACAGAATGAAATGCAAGAAAAATTAGAATTGATACAGAAAAATATGTCAGATCTTGAAGATCAGCAGCATGTGTTGGACAAAGAAAATGCAAAACTACAGTGAGTATATGAGAGTGACAAATAATATGAAACTTTATAATTCACTTTTTAGCAAAACTACTAGGTCTGGGATGATATATAATGATAATGATGACTCTTTGTGATGATGATACATGTGCAGAAATATCGATATGGTAAAGAAATTTCAGACTTATTTTTTCTTTGTTTTATTTAACATTTGGGTTTAAAGAGGCTGGGGGCTTGTGGCCATTTTTAGACTATATTGATCTCCTTTAGAAGAAGAGCTCCATATGAAGATATAGAAAATGATCAAATTTTAAAACTAAAATTTTTGAAATTTTTCTTTGCCAAATAATAGTTGACAGCTTAAGATATCATATCTAAAAAATTAAGTTAAATCTAGTGGTTAGTTTGTGGTTAATTTGTTGACCCCCAGCCTCCTTAAAATGTAAAATGAATATTTTAAATATAAATATTGATATGAAATATGAGTACTTAACATACTTTTGTGAAATAATTTTGTTTTGCAACAGATATACAGCTTCTATGAATATAAATTATTCTTATTTCTTAAGAGATTTAATGTTTATTTCACTACAAAATGAAAATTCTAAACCAATTTAAATATCATGATGGCTTTGATGCATTTCATATTTTGGTACAAATCTCATGATATATAATGATATAGAAGAAGATGCATCTTATCACTCTAAATATATACTGCTATTTGTAAAAAGAAAAGAAATCAAAAATAGTATTTTCTCCCTTTTAGCCCTGAAAGAGAACTTATTCGACAGAAACACGAAGAGATTATTTCACAGTTGAATGAGAGGATGGCAGAGAAAGCTAAGTATGTCTCAATAAGAGTACAGTTGGTTGTAATAAACAGGGCCTGGGAAGAGGCCGCGCCACGCGCCATATGCGCATACTGTCGATAAATGGCGCAATGAAATAACGGTGCGCTGCGCCATGCGGCGCACCCCGCAAAATGCGAGCACATATGCTTTATTACTTTGCTTATGGCAGTAAGTGCTATCGGTTTGGTAAATATTCTTCATAGCAGTTAGATGGAATCTGTGATGTATCATAAAATAAAATCGGAACCATCTTTCGGCATATTAACATCTACTGGCAAAGAAACAAAGTTTTTTTTCCATGTAGTTCGTAAGTGTCAAGTCGTTTTTCGACGGTTGATCACATTTTTACGAAAGTCACGCACAAGGAAGATTTATATACTCTGTTTCAACGATGTCTACTTATCTTGGCCTGTCCCTTGATCTCATAATCGGCATCGTTAAAAAATGGTGCTTTTTGGTTTTAATATAATTTTTCTAAATACTAGTTGGTTAGAATCTAGATGAATGAAATCATTTGGACTAGTCAATGTCATATGACTTGTCAATTCCTATCGCATTATCCCACTTTTTGTTGTCAGAGATATGCATTATCATATAGCATCATACTATGATATATTTTAGAATGGCCCCAAGATAATTTCCCTCGGCCCCTTAAATTTCAAAATGGCCCCATCATTTCATGAACAGTGGGGCCATTGGCCCCACCTGTTGCTTGACCTTCCCAGGCACTGAATAAAGAATAGATAGTAAAGCTGAACACGACTCATAAATAGCTTTTATCCATATTAGCTTTCTTATCTTCAATATCAGCTTTGAGGTATAACATTCGAATTTGTAACATCTGATAGCTTTCTGGCCGCTCCACCTGGAATGAACAACATATGCATTCTTACACTGCATTAAGTTTTTTACTGCATTTTATGTGTATTTATGTTTGTTTGTATTGCACAGACCTATGTAATTGGTGGAAAATTTCTGTTGTTACTTTTTTCCAGGGGTGGTAGAAGCATATAGTAGTAAATCTTGTCACTACTGAGTAAACCTATTTCACAATGACAATGTAGGATAAAGGATATGTTTGAAAAGTGTATTACAGTACATTGAACCATGACCAAGTAAATGGCTGATATAGGGTCTATAGAAATAAACACAAACTAAGAGAAATATGGTGTACAAAGATAAATCTCTTGCTTTTACAAGTCAAGTTCAGCTTTAATGCTGTCAATAAAACAACTCTTTGTCTTGGAACTCATGTGAAAAGACTTGATAATGTAGATCTATGCAAAATGAAATTCTTTTATAATTCAGAAGTAAATGATCACACTCGTGTTTTTTATAGTTATGGTACATTGCCGTCACCACCATCTGTTAGTCCATCATGCTTTCTTGTCCCAAAGATCTTGAACATGCACCTAGAGCATTTTTAGAGCCAGCCAAACAAATGATTGGCCTTGTCTTGTAGATGTGCAGTTAAGTTTTTGGAATTTAGATCTCAGATTGAATAGTTTTGGCAAGATGGCAGATTTAAAGTGAGGTTTTGGTTGCTGCAACTGGTCTACATTTTTAGGATGTGTGATCAAATTGCAAGTTCTTTGAGCAGGTTTATTCCGGAGTAATCTATGATCAAATTTTCAAGACTCATGACGATAAGGATACATACTATCAATCATAATTTTCTTGATGACTGATCAGTAAGATTCTTAGCTGCAATAATGTAGCCCTCTCCGATTTTTTTTAATCTGATATTTTCTGGAGAGGGCTACAATTCCACAGCATCTCTGTAATGGTGCAAATATATTTTTTAAATACGGGCGACTGCAGGCAAAATAAATTGTTTTTACATTCAACTTACTTCTAAAAAGGTGAAATTTTTATTCACTGTCAACAACATAGCCCGTTAAACGCGAAAACCAGATAAAATAAATCTGCTTGTTTACCAGTCGCTCTCATCAGAAGCCATGACAGTTCTCGCGTGGTGTCGGGTGGTTACGTTCCGATTCCGTGTTCGACCCGCGTGTTTACGACCCAAGTGGTTTCGACCTCCTCTAATATATACATGTATCCCAATATGTGAATACCTGAGTACAGGGGTATACACTGTGCGGTAAACAAATGGATATTCGGTAGCTGTATATTGTATGGCTTCAGAGATGTGCGTGTCAATAGGTAGTTGTTTCCGTATGTGTAGTCAACATGCAGTTAGAAGGTTTCCTAACATTTTTTGTACTATTGCGAAGCATGGATGTTGATGAATTTGTTTAGTAATGAATTATATTTGAACAGTTTTCCATAAAAAATAATCAAATACTTCTTCAAATGTACCGTGATCACATATGCACTATCTAAACATTAATGTAGATTTCTCCAAATTATGATACAAAAATATACGTGGTCGATACAAAAAAAAATGTAGACGAAAAAATAAAATGTAAAACTGTTGAAAGTGTTAATTAATTTCGTTCCGAAGCAATTAATTGCTTTGGAACGAAACCACTCGGGTCGAACATGGATTCGTGTCGAAACCACGCGGGTCGAACAAGTAATCGGAACGTAACCACCCGCATTCTTCTCGCGTGATGCACTGAGACTTGCGTTTGAAAATTATAAATTACTTTGTAAAGTAGATTTTCGGGGTTACTAAATGATTGTGCTGTATGGCATCACTAAATATTGATAAAAAAACTATTCCATGTGACATTTTTTCGTAAACAGCGATATTTATGCCTAAAATAAGGTAATTCCTACAGAGATCCGCTCCCTAGAGATCCCTAGTCTCATTGGCTGTCCCAAAATAAAATCGATCAAGGTCAGTAAACATGGCGGATAAATTCAAGTTGTGATGTTGACATACACGAAAAATAACCGATATAAGGATTGTTCTGTGTATGTTTGGATTTATTTATGTTTTGCATAACTACATTTTTGGAGTTCAGGTAAGAAATGTTAATTAAATAGCCATTTACTGATAATTTAAGCCGAAATCCGTGCGGGAGTGAGTCACTCCCGCACTTGCACCATTACGGAGATCCTAAGGAGTTGTAGCCCTCTCCCAAAAAAAAAAAAAAAAAAAAAAAAAAAAAAAAAAAAAAGGGGGAGAGGGCTACATTATTGCAGCTATAAGATTCTTTATGTCATGTACTAGTATATTATCTGGATGAAGTGATCATTAAGAATCTTTATGTCATGTATATTATCTGGATAACTGATCAATAAGATTCATGTCATGTATATTATTTGGATGACTGATCAATAATATTCATGTAATGTATATGATCTGGATGACTGATCAGTAAGATTCATGTCATGTAAATGATCTGGATGACTGATCAGTAAGATTCATGTCATGTATATGATCTGGATGATTGATCAGTAAGATTCTTTATGTAATGTACAATGTACATGTATATCTGGATAACTGATCAGTAAGATTCTTTATGTCATGTATATGTGGATGACTGATCAGTAAGATTCTTTATGTCATGTATATCTGGATGACTGATCAGACCAAAAAAAATAATAGTCTTGTTTCCTGCTACCAGCCTGAAAAAAATAGGGTAGGTAGGTAGGAAAATTATTTTATTTTATATTTTTATTTTATTTTTTTTCCGACAACATTTTCTGGATATGAAGTAATTAAAGATAAAATTAAACACGTCACAGGTCAATATTGTCTTTCAAAATCAAATTTCATGTCTTTTTATGCACAACTCAAGTGGTATTTTATGAAAGTCCATATTTAAAACAAGAATTTCATGAAATGCTTGTTTTGTGTTAACACGGAAAACGATTACGGTGACAGAACGATGAAATTCCAGAAATTCTCGATTTTTTTTCTTCCAAAATTTAAAAAAAACTTTAGGGTCGGGTGCAAAAAAATAGGGTAGGTCGGGTAGCAGGAAACAAGACTATTATTTTTTTTGGCCTCAGTAAGGATCTTTATATATATGTCATGTATAGTTTTTGGATGAGTGATCACTGAAGATTCTGCATGTGATGTATATATTCTGGATGAGTGATTTAAAATAATTTTCTGAAAGGTTGAGGCTGAAATTACCGGGATCATTTTTATCAGTTTTAAGCAATGGTGATGTGACTTTTCATTTTTAGATGCAATGTGTTAAATGTGATCTCCTTTTTTCTAACAGCATGCAGATTATTCTGAATGAAACAAGAGATAAAGTTCGGCAGACCAACCAAAGTGTAGGTTTATATTTCATTAAAAACAGAAATCTATAATAGCAAAGCTACAGGATTAAAAAATTACCACAATGTATGTAAATATGCCCACAGTGCAGTACATAGACAATTTTTTGGAAATTTGATGGTTCTAATTATTGGTAGTTATCATATTTTTAGAGCACAATACAATTATTTTGTAAAAACACATAATATTTTATGGACTAAAAGTGATATTTCTGAAAGTGAGTAGTCATTAATTTATTGTTTTCTTTGATTACAGATTGTGGACCTTGAAGATGGAATCCTCCAATTAAAAGAAGACTTGATTCAGGAAAGAACTGAAGCCAGACAGGAGAAAAAGAAACTCAAAAGAGCAGTGGTATCATTTTAAGGAAGTCTGTTTTCAAACTTTGAAAATGCATGTTTCATTGCAAAGTTATGTTCACTGACTTGTAATATAGGCAAAAAACATTGGAAAATTTTTATTTAAATATGTATTTAATTGTATTTACTCCTGTTTTTAGGTGTATATATATATATGTATATGTTTTAAATTTTTAATAACCAGATTTACATATGCTTTTTATTTTTATAAGAATTTTCATGCTAAAATTTATATTTATTTTTGTAGACTGACACATCAGACATGACTAAAGAACAGAAACAGATCAATGTCGATAAGAAAAAGTATATTGTTTCTTTCTTATTTATTATAAATAGATTGTTATGTTTTCTTTCAATATAATAATTTTCAGCTATACCTTGGATAGAAAGTATTTATCAGAAATCTGAATTTTAAAAATTTAATCCCAACAAATATTTCTGCTTTTACAGTAAAACTCAAATAGAAATATTGCAATTCAAGTACAATCATTTAGCAAACCTGGTCTGCATTCAAGATCATAGCAGCCTAGCAGCTAGGTGATAGATATCTAGCTCTGTTGAATGGTTGGTATCTCATGTTATCCAAGGCAGTTACTAAGGAGGCCATCTTGGATTTGGTACTTAGCATTAAATATTTATGATAGCTTTTTTCCTACTTAGCGGCTAGGATAACATTTTGTTCAAAATGGTAGCTTTACGTAGTGGCTATGCCCTTGAATGCACCCCAGTAGAGTTAAAACAGTATCAGAGTCTTCTGGTTAAAAACTACATAAATGTAATATGATGAACATTTGTTTCAATTAATCATATTTCAGGGAATTAGATGTAATTCATGAGAAAATGATGGAAAGTGATGGCAAACTTGATGCATTGAGGACAGTATGTATAATGTAAAATCATTTATTTTTCGTGGGGTCAAATTTGTATGTTTAAGAAAAAAAAATTGGTTTGAGGGGATATAGTTTTTGTGGTTAAAGGAAACGAAAACATCATGCTGCAGTATGAAATTTTAACATGTAATGTGAGATATTAATTCGTGGGTCACTTCATTTATAACAGGAAAATTAAACCTCCCACGAAAATATTAATTTCACAGTATTTGATCATTTCTATAATTATTGACATATTTAAAGTTATTTCTTGTTACATTTTTGCTGTACTGGTATTTGAAAACCATTTCAAATTTTCAGAGTTTACGGAGATATGAAACGTCCAAAGCAAAACTGGAAGGCCAAGAACGACAGCTTAATGCACAGTTATCCAAGCAACTTAAACTCAATGAAGAACTTAGGAGGAAAGGGTGAGAAACTAAAGAATGAAAATGAAGAAAGAAAAGAGAAAATTTACAAATTATGTTTTTAATTTTACTTGAATTTCAAACAAATTTTAGGTTTTAATACTTTGAAGCTTGTTTTACTGACCGCATTTATGGTAGAAATCTTTATTCTTATTTATGATTTCAGAACTGCCATTATCAACGAAGACATGAAATTGCAAAAAGAATTTGAAGATAGTGAAAAACAATTGTTAAAGAAACTAAAAAGGGTACAGATGACACAAAATTTTTATGCTTTCTTGAATTATACTGTTCACTGCTATATTTTTCTTGGTGTTTACAAACTTTAGTAATCCTGTAGCTCCATAAACAATTCAATAAGTGATTATAAGGTCAATTTGTTGTACCTGTAGCTGGAGACTGAAACAGAAAAAGAAAATGACAAGAATGCTGAACTAGAGGGAAGAAAGTTAGAGCTGAGAATTGGTGAGTCATGACTACCAATATGGCCATTGCAGACTTAAATATTATCAGTGGAAAGTAACAAGAGACTTCATACTGTTTCAATATTAAAACAAGACAGTTACATTTATTTATTGGGGAGGGGGAAGAGAGAGAGAAAGGGAAAATGTATTTGTTACAAAATTGAATGTGCTGTGATTTATACTTTTGAAGATCTGGAAGAAAAGCAAAGAGTGCGAGAGGATGATGCCGTCAGAGTGAGGGAATATGATGAAGAGTAAGGACTCCTTTATCAATGTCTACAGATAAGGCAAATGTAAAGGAATTCCCCATTTAATGAATTTTCATATTGTTGATAATATATTCAACAAAGTCAGGGTAATGTAGAAGCAAAGCTTTGGGTTATGAGAATATTTTATCAAGGCAATGCAATATTCATTTTACATAATATGTATATGTAACTAGGGTCATTCAAAGAATTGGTAGACAATGTCACTTTTTGACATATTATTTTTTCAGAAATTCAAGGTCAACACATTATCATATGTAAAAGCATTTATTATGTCGATTTGTCTGCCTTTGCATTCCAGTAGATAAAAAGGAATTCACTTTACTTAAATTTAAAAATGCCAAGTTTTGTCACCATGGAGCACTCCTGACAACATTGTAAGGTCAAAAACATAACGTCAATTAAGATGGTTTTTTGCACCATTGGCACATTAGCCACTCATTAAGAATGTTTCTATCCACTTGACTAAGTTGGCTAACACTGATATTTTTACAGAGTAACCAGCTTTCATTTAGGTATCACAAGAGTGAAGCACCTACGTCACTCTCCATGATGTTACTGTTTTGACCAGATTTCCTTTCAGGCCATCCATCGTCCTATGAAGGATCTCTTCCACTCAAATACTACATTATTTTACAATTTATACACAAAAGCTAGGCTCATTTTGTATCACCATTTTACAAGGCTATGACAATAGACATTACTGGTATATAGTGTATTGTTAGTAAATTACTGAATTTTGATGTGCTCTGTGACCCCATTTTTGCACTTTAAAATTTCAAATAATTTTGAAATTTATCAAGATATTTGAATTTTTATTCAAATTATTCAGAATTGTTGGAACATATCTACCAAATTTGGTTATAATATGACTTAAATAAAGTTATGTCAAAAGTCCACATATTTTTGAACAACCATCAAACTAGTATAAATACCACTTCTATGTAGTGCAGAATAGAGGAATACTGTATATATGCAATGAGACTGATAAAGGATCTCACTGCAGTTAATGTAGCTTTTATTCAAATTACTCTTGTGCACTTTGCAATAATTACAACTACCATTAAAGGCTGCAAGCAGAAAAGAGAGCCTTGGCATTAAAGGCAGAAGAAATGGGACGAATGCAGTCAGAAAATGTGGAAATGGCAGATCAGATTGAGTCTCTGGCAGAATCTCACAAGTAAGTGATTTAATTCATTATCATTTTTTTTTCTTTCAAAATAATTTTGTGCTACTCGTAGTATTTTTATATCTTCTTAAAATTAACAAATAGTTGACAAACTAAAGTTTGATTTAGCAGTGACACTATCGTAAACCCAAAGTTATTCTACTGAATGTAGATTTATCAGCATTCAATTTTTTATATTTCAGAGCTGTGCTGGCACAATTAAATAAACAGATTGAAGGTTTTCGAGAACAATTATCAAAGGAAAGAAAAGAAAGGTAGATAATTAACCTTAATAATATATATACTTAGACTTTTCCCTGTTATCATATCAATTTTTTATAACTGTTTTTAAACAAGGAAAAAACATTTGAATTAGATTCAATGAAGTAAGAAAATGGAATATTCTGACACAGAAATTACTGTAAATACATACACATGGGAACTCATGATATCTGTACAGTGTAGTTTCTGCTAGTACCTGTTTGTTTTTAGTTCAACTAGAATGTAAGTGGGCAGATGTACTGCATGTATTCATTTTTATGATATTTAAATGTGTGCCAATTTTTCTCAACACTCTCCAAAACATTTTTATCTTTATTTTAACCATACCTTTTTTCCTACTTTTTTTTATGGAGTCATTTCATTCAGTTATAATTATCAGTGAATCATACCTAATACCTGTGAAATAAACAAAATTATAACTATGTATAAACATTTTGAACATATACCAAGGTTTAATATCTTATAATATGGAATCATTAGTTCTGAAGAGAGCTCGAGAGCAAGTTCAAACATGAGTCGCCCTACTGACTCAGACTCACAGAGTATGATTGAATTCAATCCTCGGCCACCGAGCCAGAGACATAGTTTGTTCAAGAAGAAAGCACCCATGTCTGCTAGCTCCACCACCTCCATGACCTCATCTGAGACCCCCACTGACAGGAAGTCACCCCCCCTCTCAGAGACCCCAGACCCAGATGGGTACTGAGTGATCATGCCGTGGCTTTATAACCAAAATTTACAGTTGAATAAATGGAATAATTAACATGATTTTGATCATTCATGATATATGAGCCAGCATATTCGACTTACATGTACTTGGTACTTGTGTGGCATATGTACTTATTCTATTCTGTAATGCATGGAGATTTTGAGGAAGAATTGTATTACAATGCTAATGAACAATGTGTGTATACAGAAATACTTATAAATATGTGTACAGACGTAATACTAGGTTATAAAGAACTTGCTTATAAGGAAATCCTGGTTATAAGATACATTTTACAAATCCCTTAGAAGACTTCACCATGTTTCTTATACAGAAAAAATCTCAGTAATGAGGAAGCAAATTTGAGGTCCCAGTGACTTCCTTATAAGCTAGTTTTACTGTACATGTCAATTATTCTATAAAGATCAAAATATTTGTATGTGTGTTTTAATGCTTTTCTTACGCTTAAAACAATGTACAGTCTTGCTTTTTGAAATTACCAAATGAGCAGAATTTTTAGCAACTGGATTCAATTTCGGCATTATTAGGGAGGGTTTTGAAATCGCTAAAATTGAATATGCTAACAATGTATTCTGTATTGTTTGTTATAGATATCTTTCTTGACATTATAAAATTGTTCAAATTACTTCTCACTATAAATATACACCAGTTTTGGGGAATAAATTACTAAAATTGTGTCTCGCTAAAAATTCCACTTACCAGGTATACAGTATTTATTAATGCCTTTATTTAACAACACTGCATGAATGACTTTCTTCATGCAGTGTAATTAAGCTTTGCATGTATTTCATTAGATATGAACTGTGTGAGTCATTTTTTGAGAAGGCGCTTCATTTTGCTACCTGATAAAGGCTTTGCTTATTTAATTTCATGATTTAATAAGCCAATCATTATATATAATCTCAAAATTTTCGTATATTTTTATTTACAAAACTTTAACCATCTAAAGTAGTTAAAGATGAGTTTTTGGACTAAGGACCTATGATATATGCTGCTTTTAAAGAGAAATTTTGCAAAAGAATATACTTGTATTGGCTTCAATGAAATATCGCTAGAGAATATATAGCTTGATTATAGTTGTTGATTTTAACTTAAAATATTTCAGGTTAGAAGTTCAGGAGAGAAAGAATTCTGTGCAGAAAGATGTTGAGGACTACAAACTGGAAACCCAGAGATTTTTGAATGAAATGAATCAGAAAATTCGAGAGGGAAAAGCAGAACATATGCAACTCACCAATGAGGTTTTTAATTTCTTAATAATCTGTAGTGCACAAGGTGTTGTAATAGTATTTTGTTTGATTTCACCACAAAACATGACCAGGGCAAAATAATTCTTGAAACTTCCCTTCTGATACAGGCATTTTTGCACTTAAAAATGAATTTCAGTGTAATGAAAACTGATGTGAGCTTTCTGATTTTGCCAAATTCATAAAATTTGGGGCTTGTTGAACTTTTGGTGTGTTGTATTGAGGATGGGAGTTACTATGCACTACACCTGTTCAACTTCAGCAAAAAAAGAAAAAAGAAAACCAACAATCCCTTTAGAGTATTGTTATATTGTAGACTATACCGTATATACTTGCCTATAAGTCAGCATTTTTGTGATGTCACATGACTTTGTTGATCATGTGATGGACACTTATAAATTCCTAAATATTGAACAAAAATCACATCGGCACAAGTGCAAAACAGCATTATTGAGAAAATTTTGTCACATAAGTCAATTCATCGTGAACTTTGGTACATATAAAGTGCTGGGGGCAAGTCTTAATTTTACTTCTTAAGAAAATATTCCACAAGAAATTCAACTTACCCACATACAAGGGGGCATTTTCCACTCTTTATTTCAATTTATACAAAATAGGATAAATTATACATACAATCCCCCAGCAAAATTCAGTAAGAGGACATACTTCTTTGTAGATTCACACAGAATATCTTCAATTTATCCTTATTAATTCACTTGCGTCAGTCAAATATAAATAATACATGATTTATAAATTCTAACTCTGTCCATGGGTGTGTAAGGGGGAGAGTTTCACTGTCAATTTTTTGTTATTGTTTGAATATATGTATATCGGACAAGTTAAAGAAATAACAATATTAAATTGCAAATGTTCAATATCATAACAATACCCTTAAGCTTAAAGAACAATCCATACACTTGAATCAAACAACAGCGCTAAAAAATCTTTACATGTCATGTGAAAGGAATGTAAAAGTTATGACACTTTCCCCGTCATGTCAGCTCAAGTATGCAGTGACTTGATGTCATATGCTATTATGACGTCATATCTAGGTAGTTCAGAGAAGTTACTGCAGTTGGAACAGTTCGATATTTACAGACAGCCTTATCCTAGCCGCGTAAGCGGACCTACTTATAGGCAAGTATATGGTAACTTACAATCTCTGTAGAGTATTTATACTGTAATCATACTTACAATACCTGTTGGGAATTGTCTTGGGATGCCCAACAAAAATGGAAAAACAAGAATAATATTAAAAGGATTTTGCATGAGGATAGTGTTGTATATATATATATATATATATATATATATATATATATATATATATATATATATATATATATATATATATATATATATATATATATATATATATACATTGAAAAGACACTTGTGTCTTTATCTTAATGTTTTTAATATTTTCAGGGGACTTCACTTCAGAAAGAACTGAAGGAAGAAGAGGAGGTGATCAAGCAATTAGACACAAACCTCAAAGAAGCTCAGACCAGATACACAAAGATGTATGAGACAATGCAGCAGAAAGTGGACAAAACAGAGGTTTCTACTGTTATATCATTAAAATCAGCAATGTTTTCACCATTTACATAACTTGCACAAAACAAAACTATTTTTGCCTATTATAAAATATCTCATTGTTTATTTTATCAGAAAATCTTACCTCAGAAAGAGTTGAGAAATAAATTTTGATTTTTACATTTCAGCATGAAATCAACACTATGGAGACACAGATAGAGGAAAAGAAAAAGTTAATAGAGGAGAGAACACCATTGTTTGAGGAACTAGAGAGAGTGTTTGAAGAGAGAACTAATGCTTATAATGCAACCAAAAGAAACATAGCTAGTATGTGATACTATGGTCATTCAACAAGGCAGTCCTTAGCTGCTGGAATCATTTTATTTTCTCCCAGGAGAATTTCACATATTCAGCAACTGCTGGTGTTGTTAATACATTTAACTATTCCTGCCCCAAAACCCATTAAGTTTCATAATATTTCAGGAATATGTCTTAATTATTTATGTATACTAAAAATCTAACTTTTCTACTATATCTAATGGAAACTGATTTTGATCAGAAAACTGTTTACTGAGATATTAGATCCACTAAATCATAAACTATCTATCATAAAATTATCCTTGATACAAAATCCTGACCTCTGTACTTGCACTCCCATCAGTTGCTGAGTAAGAAAACTTCTCTTGTTGACTCAGAGGGTTTTATCCACAGTGTTTTACTTAATACCAGGACTATTTTGTACAAGTGTATAGTATAATTTATATGCAATTGTCTTGATAGTTCTGGGATTATGGTAGTGTTTGCTAGACTCCAAAGAACAAAGAATTGTGTGTTACTCACAGAAAATTTAATAACCCACTAGAAGACCGTAGAAGTACTACCCATAATGGAAGAAAGACTTATGTTTATTGACTGCTCAGTAATAACTCAGATTTTAGAAAATAGCTTATGGTCATTAATTTAGTGATGTGCAAGAAAACCTACATATAAGCTAGTTTTAATAACAAATTAATATAAGAAAATTGTCCTTTTATGCATGTAAGTATTGCTATTTTTGTGTGTACCTTACCACTTTTTAGTGTGTCTGTGGACAATGCATAATCCATTTGCTGGCAATAGAGACAATGCTTTACTCTCTGAGTCCTGAGTTGACAGTGTTGAGTTCTGTGACAGGCTGACAACACTGTCGAATGTCCATAGTACACCTATCAGATATGTTATTGTTAAGGGGGCTATCAGTAGTAGAACTGAGGTTATAGAGTTCAGCGCTAACAAGATTTAGAGGTGTAGGTGAAATGATGGCAGACATTGGCTTTGAGTGTATATGTGTCATTAAATGTTTTCTCTGTTACAATATTCATTTTTCTGAAATATTCTAGTAATGAGACAGAAGAAATCTGGTCTAGAAGAAAGCATAAGAAAAACAAAAGAGGAGAAGGCAAAAATGGACATTCCAAAGGTGAAGTAAAACTGGTCATTCAGTGAGTTTTATTAAACATCACCTTGCTGTTAGTGTGTACATTTAATTATCAGCCTGAGGCTTTGTATAAATTCAGATAATGATATTGAAGGGATAATTTTTTTGTTTTTTTATAATGTGATAAATGCAAATATCAAATAATGATTTTTTTCATAAAGTAACAACTTTGAAGCCATGTGATCTTGTTTTGAAGGTATTATAACCCCAAATTTACTGGTACAACTATTGATCAACAAGTCCTAGGAGTGACATCATTTTGTCTTTTATATATGATCTTTACTATAGTAATAAATAAGTCTGTGTTTTGTAGATCGAGTCAGAATCAACTTTTAGTGATTATATGATCAAACTTTGGATGTTGTTACATGCAAATAATACAATTTGGTATCCAATAATTAATTTATGAATTCAGCACAATTATTTGATCTATTATTTATCAATATGTGTAACTGTGACATGCAGTGTTGATTCCTTCCAATTGAGAATGCATGTTAAGCACTTTACAGCAAAGTTCAGTCAGTGTAAGAAAAGGGAAATAAGATTGAATTTATCATTTTCAAATATTATTTAGAAACAAGTGAAGGAAGATCTGAAACGTAAGAGAGAAGAAACAATGTTCCAGCTGAAGCGACAGGGAGACGATCGTCAGAAGTTAGAGCAGGAGATCTATATGGCGGGTTGTAAACTACGAACCATCATGGAGGAAAATCAGAAATTAGAGGAAGTCAGTTGGATTTCTTTTAACTTCACATATGATATCAAATCATATACATGTATACATATTATTCTGATATATGATACAATCTGTCCAATAAATTCTACATATCCTGATTTCGATGACAATCAGCATCAAATTAATTCATAACCATAATTTGCATAAAGGGTTGTCAAAAACTGGCTGAAGAGATAGAGGAACTGAGGAAACAGATGGAAGAAAATGCTGGTTTAAAAGTGAAGCTGGAAGATGAACTGGAGGAAGTGAAAAGTAATTTAAATATGTGGGCATATATTGAAATAATACCATTTTAAATTGTATTTACCTGAATTTCTTTTTGATGTACCACTACTGTTACATGTGTCTTCAAAGATTTCTTACTTTAATCTTTCAGCTGGGCTCATCAGAAGCTGGCAGAATGATGAAGAACTCAATAATGTATGTACTTAAAGGAAGAGAAGAGACATCATAAATGATCATTTTACTTTTATGAACTTCTTTGGTTTCATATTTACACCAGTAATTAGTACAATATTACTCCTATCTAGCTGTTTACCAACAAAGACCAGATAGTTGTGGACCAGTTTTCTGAACTTCTTCACCAGACAGAGGAACGAGAGGTTAGAATCAACAAAATAACCAATCGTCTGAACGAGGAACTCATGTATCTGTCCAAGTTCTTGGAGAACCTGGCTACTCGACGTCCGCAACGTAAGTCAACCAAAGGCATGGGAAAATTAAACGAGTTAAAATATTTTTGGTTTCTGCCCTTAAATGTAACCAAAACTTTTCCTACAAAAACATAAATATATCAGAAGTAGATTCTTACCCTTCTTTGTTTCTTCTTTAGTTGTATATTAGATTTGAGATTCTTATTCTAAGATGTTGTGGTCAACTATAAACTTACTCTTCTTTTGGGCTACCTGTGATTCTGTCACAAACACAGGCAATGGTTTCCTTTATGATTTACATATATATTTGAAAAAACATATACAATGTAGATATATATAGTACAAACTCTCATGTCTCATTTACTACAATATGCATATCTTCATTATTTTCTCACGATTATGAGTTACACCCAAAGGTAGCTGATTTTGGATTTTCAATGCCTTGTTTTAGGCCATTTTGCTTTACAGAACCAGATTATCAGAAAACATTTGTTTATGATGGAGTTTGTAGGCAAGATTAGATATCAGATTTGAAAGTGTAGTCAAGAATAACTGATCCTTTGTCTACAAGACATAAAGAATTCTTGCATTAAAACATGAAGAGTCATGTTCCCTTTCAATGCTAGTTATTTAGGGAGGAATTGAAAAAAAACAAAAACAAACTTTTACATTGAATTACCAAGGTTAATTCTTTGTACATTGTGAATATAAGTTTATCCCAGTCAATACTCCTGAGAGTAAATTTGTATATAAAGATTCACACATGTATACATGTAAAAATCAAGAAAACAATTGCCATGAATTGGTTTTAGGATTGCACTAAGGGTTTACTATCAAATGATCAAGTCAAAAATTGTAAATTTTGTGTTTATAAATTTATAGTACATTTCATTACTACTCCTACTAAAATTTCTATGTGGAATTTTTTTTATGTTGTATATATAGCACTCACAGTTCTATTTTCAAATTTAAGGAATGTATTCATACAAAAAAGTAAGGCTAATATAATTTGCAAACTTGTGTTGATATCGCTAGTAAGAATTTAAAGAAGCAGGTAAGATACCTACATGTAATTTAAAATCAGCCAATTTTATGATCATAACAATAAGGTCTGTGTCCTCCAACAATCTTTATTTATAGTCTTTTATCAGTTCAGCACCTGTATTTTCAGTAGGTGAAGTACTGTCATACTGTGACTTCTTTGAATTCACTGGATGGAAATGTGTAACTGATTGAATTAAATAGTATTTCAGATTTAAAATTATGCATTTAAAAATGCAGAGGATTGGTTTCCTGCACTAATTAGCTAGCTTTAGCTCACTTTTTGAACTGTTTTATCAAATATATGTCTTATAATCATTATGCTAGGTGGTAAAAAAGTTTCAAAGAAAGGCAGGTAATGTATGCACTGCATTTCCTCTTGAAAGTTATATATCTAGTGTTGTGCTTGTTCATTTTCCCTGAAATAAAAAAATGGATTGAGGGGGGGTACTTTCAAGAGGAATATGTTGCCAGGGTTAGATATAGTGTCCACCCTTTTGCATGTTTTCAGCAATTTTAAGGAGAATCTTCGTTCCAAAGTTTTTGTTTTTTAGTTCACCCGAGCCAAAGGCTCAAGTGAGCTTTTCTGATCAAAAAGTGTCTTAAGCACCCGTCTGTCTGTCATGTGTTGTCTGTTAACTTTGCACATTTTCTATAACTTCTCCAGAGCCACTGGGCCAATATTTCAACCAGACTTCCATAAAACATTCTTGGGTAAAGGGGATTTCAGTAAGTGCCACACCCTCTTTCAAGGGGAGATAATTAAGAATTCAGGAAAATTTAGTGGCATCTTTTAAAAATCTTCTTCTCAAGAACACTGGCTCAGAAAAGATGAAACTAATGAGAGATCGTACATACTGTAGATTCAAGTTTGTTCATATCCTGACCCTGGGGGAAGGGTGAGGAAACAACAGAAGGTCAAAGTTTTACATAGGAATATATAGGAAATATCTTCAAAAATCTTCTTCTCAAGAACAGCAAAGCCATAATGATTCTTAGTCATGTTTATACATAAACATCCTTGGTAATGTAAATTCAAATCATGACCTCCTGGGGTAGGGTGGGGCCACAAAAGGGGGTCAAAGTTATACATAGAAATATAGTCAAACCTCAATATTTGAACTCAGTGAGACCAAGAAAACTTTGAGATATCGGAGGGTTGGAGATATTGAGGATGAAATACTTAAAGAAAAAGTGCTTGGGTCTTCCAAATCACTTACATGTAGACATATCCATGGTGTTCTAGATATCTGTGTTTCCTGATGTCAAAGTTCAGCTGTATATCAGAAAAATCTTGAAAAAATCTTCTCAAAAACAGCAAAGCCATGATTGTTCATATTAATAAAGAAGCATCCTCAGGTAATGTAGATTCTAGATTGTTCCAACCATGACCTTTGAGGGTAGGGTGTGGCCACAAAAGGGGATAAAAGTTATACATACTAGGAATAAATAAGAAATTTCTTTAAAAATCAAGAACAGCAAAGCCATGATACGACATATTAATACAGAAGCATCCTCAGATAATGTAGATTGTTCAAATTATGACCCTTGGAGGTAGGGTGCAGCCACAAAAGGGGATAAAAGTTTAACATATGAATATATGGGAGAAGTCTATAAAAATCTTCTTCCCAAGAACAGCAAAGCCATGATCAGTCTTATTTATATGGAAGCATCCTCAGGTAGTGTAGATTGAAGTTTGTTCAAATCATGACCCCGGGTGTAGGGTGGGGCAGAAATCAGAGATCAAAATTTAAGTCTTTAAAAATCTTTTTTCCCAGGAATTGCAAAGCCACAGTTAGTAATATTAAGATGGAAGCATACTCAGGTAGTGTAGATTCAATTTTTTTCAAATCTTGACCCTCTGGGGTAGCATGGGACCATAGAAATTTTACATAAAAATATGTAGAAAAAAGAAACAGAAGGGCCATTTGCTACTCAGATGAGTATTGTGGCCCATGGGCCTCTTCTTTTCTGGTTTTAAGAAAAGAGATTACAGATACATGTATCAATGTGGACATTTGCATGCTGATACACCCAGATCGAGTTTTATTTTGTTATTCATGATAAGTTACAAAGAATGAATTTATAAATCATTAGTTTTCAATAAGGGATGAAAAATAATGTTATTTGAAGTTGACAAGCATGTTTAAAAATATGAAACAGCATGAAAAAATAATTTTAGTGTTGTGTTGAAGCTTCAGTACAAGTTTATTCTTCAGTTATATAAAAATTTTTGATGCAGGGAAAATTGTTTTCCAAATTGTGCATGTTCATTAAAATGAATTGTGTATTAGGGAAAAGATCACTCACTTTTAAAAGAAAATCTACAAAAAATAGTCAAAAAAGCTATTTTAAAAATGTTTATTATGGTGTATTTGAATAATTACAGTAAAACATAGCTTATAACAAAGTGCCAGCTAGGGATGGACGATTTTGCTTTGTTATAAATGTAATTTGTTATATCCATTAAGTTCACAATATATTTTAAAGACACAAAGAATGAAATTCACTTCACTGTAAGCATCAATTCATTATAAGCGTGTTAGCTACAAGTGTGTTTTACTGTACATGTATGTCTTTTTTAACTGAATGAATTTAATAAAGATTAAATAAGATTGATCATGAGTCACAGAATGTTTGTGAGTCAAGATAGATGTCAATATCATTCAATTTAATATGAATGTATGATGTAGAAATTCAGAGCCACTTAATTGTTACAATGATCAGATAAGTGTCACACAATTCTGCCATATTGCACACAAGAAGAGCTTATGTTTCATTTGACACTTGATCACACAAGGCCAGGATATAGATGCTTAATAGAACCAGTGGGGTTCATATTGAAGCAGAATAGTTTTGAAGTGCATGCATGCATAGTTTCGAGGAAATTATTTAATAATTTGATATCCTTCCTTTCTGTAATAATTTGAGAAAGTGATCATACGCTACATTTGATAAAAATATTTTATTATTATTCCAAAGAGTCATGCATATTCAATTAGAGTTACTGAGATTTTTTTTTCTCTGAAGCTTGCAGCATTTAATGTAACCTGGTATTCCTAATTGGAGATGTTTAACAGATATTTTTTTAAAAACAAATTTACAGACACACCACCACCAAGCCGAAAATCTGGAAGTCGTGCCTCCAGTAGACGGACAGAAGATGGGCGCACCAGCAGAATCAGCCAATCAGCTCTTCACAGTAAACTCCAGGATGTAGATAATACTAGTGCTGCACCAAGTCGACTCAGTACCAGGCCCCCAACAAGAGCTGACACTAAGATGTCTAAGACTGTTACAATCATAGATGAACCAGAAGTACAAGACTTGGAGTTTTGATATTAGCATATTAGTGTTGCTTTTAATGAGGAAAAGTTTACCTGTACTCTGTGATACTTTGATGTTTGATTTTTATATAAACATTGTCACATACTGTTGTTATTTTGAAAGTTTTTCAAAACAATTAAATTCTTTAATAACAAAATGTGTTTGTGAAAACATTTAAGCTGCATGCAATGTTATGAAATTCAAGTCGAGCCTTCTGTTGGATCAACATGTACTTCAGATTTATCTAAAATGTGAATGAAAAAGTTGTCTTGAAAGATATTATAATGAATTAATGATATCAGATATTATAAAGAGTTTTGATAAGCTCATGTTAAATTGCTACATTTTTTTTTTTTTTTTTAGAAAAGATAGATCCTAATTTCAGCAATTTTCCCAGTTAAATAACTTAATAATGGTGTCCTCCAGTTATTACTACAGTGTTAATGCTACTGCCTGGGAGTTTTCCCAGAGGGTTTCTATTTCTGAAGATATAAATTTTGGCTCCCCAATTGATGTAATTGACCCTCCCCCCCCCAAAAAAAACCCATAGTTTATTGCATGATCAAATAAGGTCATTTACACAACATAATTAAAAAAAACTATCATTGAATATTTCTAAATAAATAGTTCATATTCAGATGGTGAATCCATCTAGTCCAGTCTGTGTTTGGCAACAGCAGAAAAAGGTCTTTGCCCAGTTACTACAAGAGTTTTCTTAGATACTAAAAAGAGGATTTTATTATATAAAACCACCAAAGAGTATCTATGGGATGCAAGGGGTTTCTATTATTTTTGGGAAGATTTTTTTCTCCCAGTTATTATCAATGGCTTTACCAGCAGTACAACAAGCAAATTCAAAGAACTGTGGTTCACTTGCTTTTGGTGTCAAAGTATTTTGATGGAGGTACAATTATTTATGACATATTGACTGACAAATGAGATTTAATAAATTTTCCCTTCACTTTCGTGAAAGAGGGGGACAAAAATATTTCTGTTGACTGAGACATCTGATAATAACATTAGCCCTGGGAATGTTCACCTAGATACTACCAGAAGATTACTAGTTACATCCTAATACATGTAGTTGCTCTCAGTTACAAGCTGTGTTTCACTTATTATTAGCTGGTTTTGTTCAATTACTGTTGGAGGGTCTTTACCAGATAGTACCAGAGATTTTCTATAAAATAGCACCACAGGGTTTCTTTTATTAACTAGATAGTATACACATATATGAGATTTTCTACCAGATTTTACCACAGGGTTTTTACAAGATAGTATCAGGAAGGTTTCTACTAGATAGTACCAAAGTATTTCTCCCAGACAACACCAGAGGTTTCTACCAAATAGGATGTAGTTGAGGGTTTTTCTTATCAACAGATTTGTCCCAGACGGTAGACTTCACTTTCAACAACTATAATTTTAGTATTGAGGATAAAGGATAAATTTATTCATCATAAAATAATTCAAATCAACCAGCTTTGTGTTATTGAAGGCAATGAAAATGTACATTGAAATTCTATGTAAGTAACAAATTTGACCTTGGACCCCTAGGAAACATGGACCCTCTTAAAAGCTTTTTTCTATAAGTTCCCTTTTACAGTCCATGAAACTTTCCATTTGACCCCTTTTGTGTTCACTCATCATTAACTCTCGATTCCCTTTTTGATGCTTTCAGAAACTCAGCACTTCAATGTATAACAAGTGTTCACTCTTCATTTGAATATTGGTATTCTGCTGACCATTTAGTCTTTCTGTTTAAATGCATTAATGCATTCCAAGAATCATTCATTCAGTGTTTGTATTTGGTCAGTATTTGTACTCGATCGGCTATGCTTATCATTTGTTCAGCTTACATGTACAGTGTTTTCTTTCCATTTGCTCACCATTCACATGAGGCAGTAAAGCACTTCAGGAACCATTCTCTCAGTGGAATGGAGAAAGAAATCATGAAATGCTACACTGTACAAATTCATTTTAAAGTACATATGCAAGGGACATCAACTTTGAGTCCTCAGTGCTTTTACATCACAATCACTGAAATTGTTAAAAATCCTTTTTACAACCAAAAAAAAAAATAAAAATACAAGCTATGTAAATTAATTTTATTTTCCCCATCACTGTATTCATTTCAAATCACCCTATCTTTTTGTATAAGAAATACACTTCACTATGTGAAAAACATCCCTTATTGTAGAAGATCCATAAAAATTTACTTTTTACTTTTTTTTTCTTGCTCCAATGGAGTATGGACAAAAGAAACAAAACTGATATATTCTTGGGGGTTGGGTGTGTTTAAATTTGGAAGCGGTGTTGAATCCAATAATAACTCAAAAATTACAGAGAAAGATATTGCAAGTACCAAATTTACCATGTACATTATAAATATTTTTGTTCATAAGTATGTAAAACACTCATTAATGCATAATTTACTAACAAATGCTTATATGCATTTCACAAGCCAAAGGTTTCCAATTTGAATTCTACAACTTGTATAATTCAGACCAGAAACACTTTGCTTGCGAAGATGGCTTACATGGTGCACTGCAAAATAGTTGAAAGTTGCGAAAATATAAAGAAAATTCTTTACTACTTTTTTCAGACTAGTAACAATTTATTATCACATAATTTACAGAGAATGCAATAGCACTGAATATCACATTTGTTTTAATTGACAGAAATGGTTTGTTCAGAACATGAATGAATTAGTAAAACACTGAATGGCCCAAACTGCATCAAACATCAAAATTAGGTACACCTTACACTACAGGTATAATGGTCTAGGGATACAAAAAAGATCTGACTGCAAAAAAATAAGAGTATTTTACCACCAGAAAATAACCACAATAAAGTACATCATAAAAATAACAAGAGAACATTTAATCTTGAAAGAGTTTTTCACTCTAATAAGGCTTAAGAAAAAATATACCAGAGTTAAGCGACTGCATTTCAAAATGAAGATTTTGTACAATGGAATGCTATACATTTTCAACTGAAACATCAAAACTGACACTTCACCATGTTGATAAATTTAGAAAATTATTAAATGTATAAATGCTAAAGAACAATGCATCAAAAGCTACATGTTTAAATTGTATATGTATATAGTTTGGCTAATCATATAAATTAAACACAATATCCAAATAAAAAATAAATGTTGCTTAACCCTTTTAACTTATTTCTCTCGTTTTCCTGCATATATCACTTAATCCTTCTCATCATTCATGACTGATTTCATACAATAAAAAAAGTCTTGAAAGAAAAGATGGTAGACATAATTAAAAATACACCAACAAACTTATATGTACAAACACTATATACAAATGGTGTACAGCTAATAACTAAATGAGTAAAAATAATGTTGATGCATCATTCACCCTGAAAATGATCAATCTGTGATGTCATCCCCTAGTGAGTGACTGTGATTGGTCGATCTCCGCTAACTTACAACCCTTGGTATGTTGGCCCATGACTTGTGATTGTAAAATGGCATTTAATTATCACAGATACAAAATAGAATCATGCATCATCCCTCAAAGCATTTATACAGTTAGTTAACAACTGGGTCTGTGCCTGCAATGAAAGTTAACATATTTACATAAAAACAATAATGATTTTTTTTTACCAGACATTTTCCAATTGTAAACTTTGTGAATATATAATTTTTTTCTTTAAGTGTATTCACAATTTAGCAAATACTGTTTTGGACATTCAAGAATTACAGCATTTGGCATTGCATTATTATTAGTGCACTAAGGATTGCATCAAAGTACAAGTCCTATTAAAATAAGTGTACAATACTAAGACTTAAATACATGTACAAACAAAGTCCTTCAGAAATTAATGAAGTTTTTAGCAGTGAAGAAAATTATGATCACAGTACTTACCCTAGCATGTTTCAGTTCTAGTTCTACTAAATCTACAAGGTTTTTCTTGAAGTATGCTATTCTTCTTGTTTTAAACTCAGTTAATTCTGCAAATGCAAACAAAATCCCACATACAGAATCGGTTAATCCTCTTTGTAATTGTGTGTACCTTGAAAACTCAAAGTGAAAACTTAATAAGAGATTCCTTGTACTAGTATTTAAAATACATGTTAAGAGAGTGTTGGCTGTTGTTGTTTTTTTTTTTTTTTTTACCCTTTTTAGCTACTTCTGATATTTTCTCAAATCTCTCACAAGCAATTTGCTGGGTTCTCTCGGCCTGAAAAGAAAGAACAAAACATCAATCATGTCAGTTGTTGAGCACAATCAACTGATGAATGACAAATAATTTGAAAAAATAAAGGATGGATTTTGGTTTGTCAACTATTGCTCCTTTTTTCCTCGGGTAAACCATGAGTGTTGCATTTATAGCACAGCTACATTTAGTTTGATTATTGTCTTTGATTACTACATTTTCTAATCAGAACTGTCCTTTATGAACTTGTAGTTACATGAGAAAACTGGTGAATACTGGGGGTGCAAAATTACATCTATATGTTTTAGACTAAATGACATTTTGTAACATTTGATTATTAATGGTGTCTTTATCTAAAGACTAAGAAAATAATTGAAGAACATTTGATTTCAAGTTTATTTCTTTTTTCTTCATACATATACATTCCTTCAAAACTAATCAATCAGTAATCAATATGTTTATAAATTAATATGAATTTTAGCAAATACATATATTTTGAGTGAAATGATATGAAAATCATGCTCATTCAACAAATTATCCTACCTGTGCCACCTCTTTATTTTTAAGCCGAGCTTTCTCCAAGGCCTTATTGGCATTTTCATAATCTGCTAGAGCTCTAGCTCTCCTGTAGAGCAAATCTTTGGCTGCAGCAGAGTCTCTCATGTAATATCGTAGAGTGTCACTCAACTTCAGGTCCTCATCTGTAGACACTCTACCCTCCAATTTCTGAAAGTTTGAATAAAGAAATGCTTATTCTTTATTCCAAGGAAAAAAACCCATAAGCATTCCACTAGGAGAAGACATATAATGATCATGTTCTTTTGTTCCACTGTTAGAAACCTACCCTTGTTTTCTCCAGAGCCTCTGCAACTCTTGTAAATATTCTGAACAGGAAACAGGAAAAAGTTTATTAATCATTGCATGGAC